GTGGCCCCCGGCACCTTTTGCACCTTACTCCTCGCACCCCGCGCACCCCCCGGCGTGGAGGCCGCAGGTGCCACCAGGGTGGTCGCTGGGCCTTCGGTTTTCTTTTGGGGCTGCACTGCCCTCCCCGGGAATTGGCTGCTCACCCGCAGAACTGCTCATCCCGCACTGCTCACCCGCAGAACGAGCGTGGGGGGCCGGGGGAGCTGTGTGTGTGTAGTTGTGGGTGTGCAGGCTTGCACGAGCGCTCAGCAGCATTTCCTGCTCGCAGGAGACGCGCACCCCACCCTTGCGCAGTGGTCTCGCGCCTAAAGAATCGGAGCAGCGGGTCCTGGAGATGAAGAGACCAGGGATGGGAGGGGGAGACAGATAATATGCAGCTCTTTGCTCAGCTTGGGGGCTGGTTATCTTCTCTTCGGCCTCTCCCTTCCCTGAGCTGGGCTGCGCCGGCGGGAGTGGCGGCGGGGGCTCCCCAAAAGCTTGTTGCAATACTGTCTGAAGGCTGGTCGTGGGAGTAGGCTGTCCCGAGAGGGCTCGCTCGCGGTGTACCTTCTCAGGCCTCCCAGGAACACTCTGTCCGAGGGTGCGGTTTTCCTCCTTGCTTTTAACCTTGAAGATAACCCTACAAACGGTCTCGTTTTTTCTTATTAACCCATTATTGGAGTGGTATAAAGGCAATTATTCAAATCTTTCTTAGAAAAGTTGTGTTTTCAGCCTGTGCAACATCTTTAGATACGAAATTCCATGGATTACCAACCCAGGGGGTGAAGCTGGTCATTGTTTCATTTGTCCTGAACTTTCCTTTTTTCAAGTGTCAAGGAGTGTTGCCAAGCTCTTTTAAAGTGGCCTTTGGTGGAAACATCCTAAATTCTGTCTGGTGCCTTCCTGATTTTATCTGCTTTTCCACATTCCCTCAGTGTGTTTGGAGCAGAAGGAAATAAATTTAGGCTTATGCGTTTGATACACCAAACTCTGAGTGACCTTTGGCAAGTCTTCTCCTGCACCTCAGTGTCTCCATCTGTAAAACAGCTTTGGCAAAAATCTTAAATAAGATCAAGAACAGGCGTAAGTGGAAGCTTACTATGGCAGCACTGTTAGAAGGCCGTACTCACACTTGATTAGTGTATCATTCCACTACTGCCCACCATGCTGTGTAACAAACTACAAGATTTAGCTTAAAACAACAATCGTTTATTCTTGCCCATTCACCTGCTGCTGGGTTGAGCTAGGCTGGGCGTGGCTTCTAGCTGCTGGGTGAAAACCAGGTCTGCTCCTCAGGCGGCTTCTCTTCTGGACCAGGATCTAACTGGAGCTTGTTCTTTTCAAGGTGATGGCAAAATAGCAAGAGGGCTTAAACAATAAAGATTAAAAAAAAAAAAGTAGTTCAAAAGGACACAAATGTTTGGAATTAATTCCAACACAAACTAATATAATGTTATATGTCAATTTTAGCTCAATAATTACAAAAAGGACAATGACCAAGTTATTAGTTTCATCCAATCCCATAGGTACCTTTTAATNATATAATGTTATATGTCAATTTTAGCTCAATAATTACAAAAACGACAATGACCAAGTTATTAGTTTCATCCAATCCCATAGGTACCTTTTAATGTAAAATGTGCTAAGATAATAAATCACCACAATCAATTCAGAAAACAAAACGAAACAGCAAGAGGGCTGTAGCACAGAAGAGTGTAGAAGTATTGAGGTATGTCATGGCACCTTATGTCTGTCTACATCCCAGTGGCCAAACTCACCATCAGTGGAGTGGGCAAGTATATTCCACCCATGGTGGGAGAGGGAGGGGAATGAACCTTCCCTGACACGCAGTTCAGTTTCACAGTCAGGGCAGGCTAGCTATTGTAACAAACAGCCCCCAAAGTGGCTTAATGCATTAAAAGAGTATTTCCCATTCATACAGCAACGTTATAGACCGATGTTTCTGGTCAGTATATATGTAGTGACTCAGGCACCCAGGCCCCTTCTCTCTTGTCACTCTGCCTTCCTTTAGGTATTTACTCCATCCAGCCAGTGAATGGAAAAAGAAGACATTTAGAGTGTTGCACTAGAGTTTTTATGATCCAGGCTGGGAAGTAGTCTCCATTACTTCTGCCCTCATCTCTTAGGCTAGGACTCATTCACATGGTCTCACCTACCCACAAGCAATGCTGGGAAATGTAGTCAAGCTGTGCACCCAGGAGTAAAAGAAAGCAGCGTTGGGTGGGCTTGGAGCAGCTTCTGTCATACAATATTGAAGGATCTGCCAAACTGGAGCAGGAAACTCTCCAGACATCCAGAGACATTGACTCTGAAGGGTCTCCCTGGCACTTGATTTCTTTTCAGAAGCCATGCCAAACATTAGGTAGGTGTTACCTTCCTGGGCACCATTTTTTGCTTGACTATGGAAATACTGAACTGTTCTAATGTGGACGCACAGTGAACCCCAATTCCAGCCTCCTTTCACTCGGGAAACAGAGGAATCTGTTTCTTCTGGATATAGCTATGGAGACACACATTTCAAACATACCAAGCATGCTGGATTCCCAAAGGAGCTTTAAGTGAACTTGCAGACATTGTTTTCTCACTTAGTGCAGCTCTGCAGCCCATCCCTAAGAAAGCTGGCAACCTCCTTAGCATTTGCTGCTTAAGAACAATGGTGATAGAAAAAAGACATTTTGTAACTATATATGGTGAAGCAGGTTAACTAAACTTATTGCGGTGACCATTTCTCCGTATATACAAACACTGAATTAGTATGTTGTACGCCTGAAACTAATATAATATGTCAAGTATAGCTCAATAATAACAAAAAGAACAATGTCAAATTATTAGTCTCACCCACTAATAATAATAATTAGTCTCAATTATTAGTGGTTTTAAAATTTTCTTTGACACTCCTCCCACCATTTCTTTTCTTTTGTCTGATCTTCCACCATTTGTGGAGTACAGACTGTCCTTCATACCTGCCTTCTAGTGACTAAAATGTGACAGAAGCTATGCTTTTTGGCTTATGAGGGTAGGTCTTAAAAGGCCACAAGGTTCTGAGCTGACTCTCTCCGGGTGCCTCCACGCTCTGAGGAAACCAAGCACCTACAAGGAAAGGCCACTTGTAGGCCTTCCAGCCACATCCTCAGCTGAGATCTGAGCCCACAGCCAGCATCAGCCACTAAACATGCAAGCAGGCGAGCCTTAAGCTTCAAACTGCCCCGGCTTATGCTGAGTGGAGCAGACACAGAGCTGTCCCTGGCCAAACTGCAGATTCATGAGCAAAATCAATGTTGTAGTTGTTTTAAGTTACTAATTTTGGGGGATGTTTTGTTATGTAGCAGCACAAAATGGGAACACCAAGAGATGGAAGAATCATAACTTAGTGGTGCCAGGGTCTCAGGTCCCGCTTGGGGATTCTTCCTAAATATCTTCCGTAATACTCAGACATAGATTTATTCAATAAACGTTTATCGAATGCCCCCATAGTATCTGGCAGTGTTCTGGATACAGAAGATAGACAGATGATGAGACTCTCCAAACGTGCTGTAAATCAGTAGTTTTCAAACGTTTTTGACCTTGACAGTCCCTTCCCCCCCCCC